GACTGCCCTTCGAGGAGTGCATGCACCTTCCGAACAAAAGGAGAAGGGGAAAAATGAAATAGGTGAAAAAAGTGGTTGGATTTTAAAGCATATGGTGTGTAGTTTTTGCAAAGGACTTAAATTTTTAATTCACACCTCTTTTGTTATCACTAGTGTATGTAGCCAGTGGCATTCCCTTCGCCCCCCCCCCATATTTGACATTATTTTATGACTTTGCTTCCCATTTGACCTCACACCAAGGCATTTTGATTTTGAAAGAAAAGTGCCCACGGACACACTTTTAAACGAAGCTCTCTGGCATCGAGTCCCGCTCAGCGTGTTTGTTGAATGAAGAAATGAAATGATTGCCTCTAAAAAAAGTTCAGAAAATGTTTACTTTCAACCAAGTTATTTATCTATATATTTAAGCCAAGGATTACTTACAGATTTGAAAGGGAAATTGGAAAACTGACTTTATTGGGTTTTTGAAAAACTTTCACCCCCAAAAGCTACCGAATGTTCATAATTTTTTGCAATTTATTCCTGTTTTAGTAATGTGAGTAAATCGAGTGAATGACTAGAAAATACAGGGTAAGGCTGGGAGTCCCAGCATTCTCCTCTCGGATCCTCCCCGCTCCCTTGCCTTTGGAAGCGCAGAGCTCTGGCCCCAGAGACCCGGATGCGGGAGCTGCGCTTGGCGCGGGCAGGGCCCCTCAGGCCTCCGTAGTTGCGCGTGGTCAAATGCCGACGTCGGGGCTTCGGAGAAAGCGGGCCGAGCAGCAGCCCGCGCAGGTGTCGGTCGTGGGCTCGGGATGCGCCCGGGGTGATCCGGGCCTGGGAGACCAGAGAGAGACATTATTGTTACACTGTAACGAGTCTGATTAACATGCTCCTGACACTTTCTCTTAGTTTCTCCGGCTCCTAGCAACAGTGCACAAAGGCGCAGGATTGTCTTGGGCTCCGCGGAGACACGGGGCAGCCTTTGATCTGCCACCATTACAGCCGGCCTGAACGACAGGCTCGCAGGCTCCGTGCGGCCCGAGCCGGACGGGTGGGCGGACGAGCGGGGCCCGCTTGTTTTCCCCGACACCTTCGCCATCGGCCTAGGACTGCAGCGCGGCCTCGACGGCCACGGCCCGGGCCGCATAGGAGCGGGCTTCACTCGGGCCCTTGCCCACCGCGCCGCTCGCCGGGCCACGCACGCCGCGGGCCGAGCCGAGCTCCCCAGTGCCCCGCGCTCCCGTTGGACGCCTCTGCGCGCATGGCCGCCCTCGCCCCAAAGGTCCCGCGCTCCGACCTTTGACCTCGGGCGTCGGAAAGGGCGCGCCGGCGCCAACTTGCGGCCCGAGGACGGAGTTGACGGCGGGCGCTCTCGGGCGGACGTGTCCCTCACGGGGCGCACGGGCCCCTCGGCTAGCGCTTCCCGTCGGAAGGTGCAAATTTTAAACCCAACCCGCCATTTACAATTGAAAATTAAAGAGTGGGGCGAGCTACTAACAAGTCCTATACGATTTTG